ATTAGTTAGCACATGATTAACATTTTAATATAAGAGCTTTTTTAACCTAAAATGAAATGTTGAGAGTGAAAATATATTATAAAAAAATAACGGACAAAATGATTATTCTGTCAAATGTTAGGGTTTTTTATTATAAAATAAAACGTTGGAGGTCAGAATACACTAGAAATAGGATAAGGGGTAAAATGAACATTATAATAAACATTGGGGGCTAATTTTGACATTATACCAGACATAAACAAATCCATTATGGGATTAGCGGTCTTTCTAGTAGGGGTGTGCAAATTCGGGTACCCGGATTTTTGGGTACTCGATTTTTGGGTACCCGGAACTTTCGGGTCGACGATTTCTCGGCCCGTGTCCTGACCCGGATGTTATGGGTACCCGGTAATCGGGTACCCGGATTTTGCGGGTACCCGATACTCGGTTTTTAATATTTAATTTTTAAATTATTAATTTAAAAAAATATATATATACAAATTTAAATGTTCGAAACTTCGAATTACATACTCTAATATCCGAACATAAAATTTAAAAGTTCAAAATACAAAATATATTAATCCATAATATAAATAATTCATTATATTTTATATAATTATATATAAAAAAATAAAAAAAATAAAAACTAACCGGGTACTCGGGTAACCGGGTATCCGGAAAAACTAGATTGTGTGACCCGAGCCCGACCCGGGAAATGTCGGGCAGGGTACCCGACCCGGCCGGGTAATTTTTTTTTAGAGAATTACCCGAATTTTTTAGATCCGGTCGGGATCGACAGATCGGATCAACCGGATCGAGTAATTTTACACACCCTACATTTTAGAACCACAAGCAAACCAGCCGAACTAACACCGAATGCCAAAACGACAAAGTACGAATGTTCGGAATATTACAGGATGCCATGCTGCAATATCACAACCAGTTATCTTTTGCCACGTCATGAGAACTTAAATTATTATATATATATATATTGGTTTGGACTGTAATCCTTTAACGTGGTGCAAGCAGATAATGAATTTATCTACGCTGATTCTATTTAATAGTCATACAAGTTCTTTTTAGGTTAAATAATGATTTTGGTCCTCTTCTATGTTTGAATTTGAGATTTCAATCATTTATTTTAACTTTGATCTTCTATTATTGTAATGTCATTAGTCCACCTAGTTAACACCATTAATTAATGTAATACAAATCATTGACATTAATTATTTGGACCAATTAACGTTATTATAAAAGTGAATAAATAATTATCACATGTCGGGTTTGAATGGTAAAGAGCTTGATGTCTCTCTAAGTATGATTTTGGATTCGAGTCAAATTTTTAACTTGTTGATAGGTTTGATCTAATTTGACTCTAAATATAATAAAGACTCATGTGATTATGAGACAAACAGGAATATTGAAGAAAGAAAAAAAAGTTAAATGGGTCAAGTTATGTTAAAATAAACACTAGGGGCTAAATCCAAAAATTTGAGATTTAAAAGGATCAAAATCACAATCAATTTTTTTTCTCAATTTAAATTATGGATGAAAATATTTGATGATATAAATATAGTGACTTAATTAGGAAAAAAGTTTATAAAATCTAAAACTAACATAAAAATGTATAAAAATGAAATTGCAAGCATCAAGTTTAAGGACGAAATAGTATTACATGTGAGTATAACCCTAAAATAAATTTGGGTAAATTTTATATTTAATACTTAAATTATCAGTTTTAGTTCGTTTTAATACTTATACTTTCAATATTTCAGAATCTTAGATAATGTTTAGTTTTTATTTCATTTTAGCATTCCATTGATAAAAATTTAATACTTTTAGTGCCTAAACTATATCAATTTTAGTACCTAAAATTGAAAAAAATTCAAAGCTTAACATTAAATTTTGAATTGGGTACTAAACATGAAACAAAAAACTAAAATTTTTAACAATGAGATACTAAAATGAAACAAAAACTAAACTTTATGTATGATTTTAAAAAATTGAAAGTTTAGGTATTAAAACTGATAGTTTAGATACTAAATCTGCAATTTACCCAATAAATTTTGATAATTACAAATTTTTAATAAAAAATGGGTAAAATACCAGTAGTAAAGTGATAAGAAGAGCGGGCGGGGTAGCATTGATTCGATTCGGAACCGGCTATATATAATCTGTCAAAAGAACCTGAGTCTCCACATACATGCATCCTTTTCCTCTAAGTTGAATCAGCCACGATAAATTCCTATATCACTTCTTATTATGGCTCTTGAAGCTCTGAATTCTCCTCCCATGGCGGTACCCCTTTCGCCATCAATAAATACGCTCTCTGAAGAAGAGTTCGAAGAGGCAGCGCGATAACGAGTCTTCTCCACCACCACTGACGGCTGAAGAAGAGTACCTCGCTCTCTGCCTCATCATGCTAGCTCGTGGAAACGCTGCTTCCGACGGCGGAAGCGGAGACGCTGATTGTCTTCGCGTCACTTCTTCTTCGCCGGGTTTGAAGTCGTCTTATACGTGCAGTGTTTGCGACAAGGGTTTCCCTTCTTACCAGGCTCTGGGTGGTCACAAAGCCAGCCATCGCAAACCCTTCTCCGACGGAGCTGCTGCTAATAATCAATCAATCACTAGCACCACCACCACCAGCGGCGGAGGCGACGGTAGAGAACATAAGTGTTCCGTCTGCCACAAGACTTTCCCTACGGGCCAAGCATTGGGAGGCCACAAACGCTGCCACTACGAAGGCGGCCACAACAACAAGAACAGCAGCAGCAGCGGCGGTAGCAAGAGTGTTAGCGTTAGTCTCAGCGGAGTGACGGTGTCGTAAGGAGGCGCGTCGAGCCAAACCCATCGTGTTAAATTTGGCTTTGACCTGAACTTACCGGCTTCACCGGAGTTCTGCGTGGAAAACGGTAATGGAAGATTTACAGAGCAAGAGGCTGAAAGTCCATTGCCGACGAAGAAACCACGTTTCATGATTGATTCTTTGGCACACCATTAATTTTATCTATGATTTCTTCTTCTTCTTCCATTGATCTTTAGAGTGTATTCATTCTGTTTGTGTATATATATATTCAGCTGTTGAACTGGTAATTCATTTACTTCAAGATTTTTTCTTTCACTTGTATTGTTTTGACACAAAAATTACGCCGCGTGAACGGAGGAGAGATGACGGAAGGCGGCGGACAAGGAGAGGCAGTCACGGCGGTGGTACGTCTTTACAGACACGGAAAACCAGCCCCATGTTTCGCCAATTGTTGACAGTTGAAACCGCAAGCCAACAGACATCATCCCATATCTCATTGGGTAGCCGGGTAGGGTGAGCAAAACTTAATTTCAAAATTAAATTTTTTAATTAAATTTAAAAAATTCGATTTAAATTTGTTTTTATTTATAATTTCATAAATTCAATTTGATTCGAAGAAATTTAAGTTCAATTCAAAAAATAAAATACAATTTGAATAACTTAAATAATAACTATAATAATTGATTTTTTTAATAATAAGTGGAATCAATTCAGTATTATATATATATATATATATATATATATATCATGGAGCTAACCTCCATGAAAAGAGCTTATAAGGTGCTAACATCACTTAATAAAAAATGATATATATTTTAAAGGGTTAGAGTTAGGGGTGTAAACGAGTCGAGCTGAGCTTTAATATTGTTGAACTCGACTCGACTCAAAAAGTTTAAATTAAAATTCGACTCGAAAAACTCGCGAGCTTAAAATTTTCAAACTCGATTTGAACTCAAAATCCTGAACTGAAACTCGTGAGCAATTCGAAAAGCTTAAAAAGAAAAAAAATATTAAACTTAACTCGATTAAAACCTCAAATTCGAATTTGAACCTTAAATACATGAAAATCTTATTGTATTTTTTAAATAAGCACATAAATGTTAATATTATTAATAATTTATTTTTTAAAATAATATCTTAATATATTATATTTTCGAACTGCTCACGAGCTTTTCGAATCGAGTATCAAGTAGCTCGTTTCGGCTCGTTAATAACTCGAGTTGAGCTCTAGCTCTAGTCGAGTCCATTTGATCCGAATATTTATCGAATATTGACCGAGTCGATCTCGAGAAGCTCGCGATCTATCTCATCTCATTTATAGCCCTAATCGTTATCAAATAGTTTGAGAACAGACGAAGGAAGATTCAAATAATAAATATAATCAATAGTAAAATTCACAGCTAACAAATTACATCTTCAAAGAGCACAAGATACTTAAATTGGAGAAATACAAATTATGAAACCCAGATGAAGTAGATAGCTCCGCTGGCAAAAGAATAATCCCTTGTTTAAGACACGGCATAATAGTTCGCATTCCATGGCTCATATAGCCTAGTGTTCAAGGGAAATAAACCCGAAAAGCTAACTCTACACCAAGCGCCAATGCAAACATCACAAACTTTATACAAAACAACAATACAAAGACCAACGGGCAAAATAAAATTCTAGATCTTACAGCCTAGTGTTTAAGGAAGACAAACTGACAACCCTAGTGAGCTTGATTTTTCTAGCATAAGAAATAATCAAAACATCAATGATTCAAGCTCAAATCGAATGCCCCAAAGCATCAGCATCTTACATAAGAGACTACAGTTTCAACACTAACTAATCACCTGTAATAGTTTCTCCAGTTTTCAAAATCAAGGAAGAGGATTCGGATGCAATGCCAATAAATAAGTGGCCTCTCCATAGACCATACCAATCAAAGAGCTAACACTATAAACCATGATATGCGAACATTTTTTCCCCAATATCAAAATTGAAGAAGAGTCGATGCATTGCATCAAAATGCAACTTCACCATGAACCATGCAAATAACCATGACCAAATGTAATCATAAGGCTTCAGAACTATATACTTTATAAGATTTTAAATGAATATATACACAAATCAACATCTAATTCCATTTAAAGAACGCACAAAGAACTAATTATCACCAGAGTCGCACAAAATACTAATTATCAACAGTATCATTGCATGTCAAACACAAGAAACTTGCAAACTTAACAATATGTAAATTACTGAATTGAAACATTATGATTACTTCATTGAGAGACAACAAAGTACTCTTAGTTTAACAATCACTTTAAGGTTCATACTAAATTAACTCCCCGCCTCCAAAGAAAAAACATATTGAAGTTCTTCAAAGTCCTCCCTTTACACCCCAATAAAATTCAACGGTACTGCAAAGAAGACAAGAAACAACGAGAGGTAAAGAAATAGTTTGCAGGAACAATTATGAAGAATACTAAATAAACATTAAACATCAAAAGAGTACCTTGATGAATCCGATTTCCTTGGCATTGCTACGGAAGCATTGCCTGCAACACATGAGACCGTATTTCCTGACGATGGCATGGGGATTTCCACAAACACGGCTACCAAAAACAAAACGAAACAAAAGAATCCAAAGTCGTAGCGATCATCAAAACAAAACAAAAGCAACAGATTGTTCGCCGGTGGAGTGACACCAAACACATTGGACATTCAAAGCAATCAAGAAACGGAGGAGAAGAAGAAGGTACCAGGCGCGAGAACCAGGGCCGTAAGTTTTGGGGTGAGAGTTCCAGACGTTAGAGTGACCCATCACTGATCGGCTGCCGTTATTCCACCAAAGCTTGGAAACCTAGATTTCACGGCGGTGTTTGGATTGGTAAGAAAGCGCGGGATATATATATATATATGCGGAAGTATAAACCCTAATTTGTGGGTAAAAGCCTATTTAGGCCCAATTAATATGACATGTAGCCCAAATGAAAAAAAACTGATACTATAATTTGTGGTAAAATGGAAATATTAGTTCATTAAGTCATCTCCAAAATTAATTGGATCTATAACAAATTATATGCAAGACAAACTCGTCACGCTTCATGATGATTTGTCTAAATAATTTTTTATTTAAATTTATCACTTTGACTTGATGAGTTCTAATAAAATATAATTTTTATTTGATTTTATCGTTTCAGAGTGACAATTTCCAATAAAAATATATTGGTTTAAGGGTTATCTTTGCCCCTGTAGTAGACACAATTTATCATTTTTGCCCTATAATATTTTCGCATCAATTTAGCCATCAAAGTTATTTAATGCATTATTTTGTATTCTTCCACCAACTTAAAACCTTAAATTATAAAAGCATGGTTAGGGTTTAAGGTTTAGAGTTTAGAGATAATAATTATGATTTAGGGTTTAAGATTTATAATATAAGATTTTACGTTAGGAGTAGGGTATAAAATATTGCAATTGAATAATTTCGAGGGTTAAATTGATACGAAAAAAAGATAGGGGAGAAAGCGATAAATTTAATCTACTACAAGAGTAAATTACCAAATATATTTTATTAAAACTCGTCATGCCCTCTCGACGAGTTCTAAGTTATTGTAATAAATACGTACTTCTCAAATAAAATATCTAAAGTCGTACTAAGCTAAATAATTAGTCTGCTTATTATATTGGGCCAAAGTTGCCATAATTCGGGTTCAATGTGATTTAAGTCCTAAACTATTAAGGATACATATACACGTTGTTCCCAAAGGCTCTTTTCTTTTTGCTGCCAGTCTCCATGACGGACCAAGCGGGCTCTTCATCTTCTCACCTGGTAATCACTGATTAATCTCTAGATATACAGATTCAGTTGGAAATATCTATGCACCCATTTGCCCTTTCATAACTTGACAATCTATTATACTAAAAGATATTGAGTGTTTATTTTCCCACTAGTTTCTTCCAATTTCAAAACCGTCTTAATTCATCTGCGTTTTTCAGGAAATACACTCGAAGAAGACGATTATGACCTAATGAACGGCGCCGAATCAGGATGGGTGGAACCTAAAACGCACTGTGATCACTTGGCTTCTTTATCCTCCGATCTCGCTCACATCCCAATCCCTAGCACTCCTTGCAACAGGTTATTTTAACCCCTTTTCATCCCCTGTTTGATTGATTGTATTGATAGTATTAATAAAAAATTGGGTATATAGACAACTATAGTTTGTCTAGAAGCATATGTGCCTCGAATATATTCAAAGTCGAGTTGGATTGAACTCTGCAAAGCTCTCCCAGCCCAACACTTTTGTTTGGGAGAACTCGACTCAATTTAAAACAATTGAATTTTTTTACTCTATTCATGCTAAAAAAAACTTGGTTCTATTTGACTCAACTAGTAATTTTATAAAATATACTTAGAAAAAAAGTTCAAATAAAGTTTTATTTATAAAATAAGACTTGAATAACTCCAAGTTTTAAGTAATTAGTAAATTGGTTTTGAAGCACATTTATTTTGCATGATATATGTATCTCACATGTGGAAAAAAACATTGAGAAATATATATGTATATAGTATATGATTATAGAAAACCATTTAACTTGGAATCAATTACTACCATAACATTATAAATATTTACAATTAAATTTAAACAGAAATTCGAACATCCCGACTTGAAGTTCGAGTTATAAAATAGGACTCGTCATTTTGATTAATTTGAAATTTTTTGACTTGACTCGATCGAATGCTCGCACTTATTTTTAACCAACATGTGTTAGTAGACTTTTAAGTATTTGCAGCTATTTCATTGGCTTTTTTGGTTGTACCTTGATTGATCTTCTAGTTCATCGATAGACTATCAGTGCTTTAAGCAAATGAGCTACTAAAACATCTTTCTGGTTCGGATTTTATGTTTCTTTAATGGAGATTGTTGGGTTAAGATTATATAGAATTCCTTTTCTTAATCTTAGAAAGTGTTTTATGCATAACAAGGTGCCAGCACCCAAGTGAGAATTGGTTATGCTTGTCCTGCAAAGTTGTGCTTTGTAGCCGTTTCGTGAATAAGCATATGCTCGAGCATTATAAGCAAACGACCCATTGTGTAGCACTCAGCTATAGGTATGTAGTTATAATTGCCTTCCTTTTTGAGTTCCTTGTGAAACTAGGGGTGAGGCTTTTCTTGGGTAACTTTTTTTTTCTTGGTTGTGTGAAATCAGTGACCTTTCAGTTTGGTGTTTCGCTTGCGATTCGTATCTCGATGTTCATTCGATTCAGCAGCTGCGACCTGTTCATGAGACAGCTTACATACTGAAATTCGATGAAGCCCCTCCTTTACAGTCTGTTGAATCTTCTAGGACGGAAGATAAACCACCGGCCAGGGATATGCCATCAAGCAGTTGAATCTGGTATGGTTTTCACAGATAGGCTAGTCTGGATTGAATCAAAGGTTTCATATCATCAGTTGTTAAAATTGAGTACTTTTCTAGGTGAATTTAATCATATATTTCGTTATATGCGGATTGATCATAGACCAGCTGTTATGATATTGTAGTCCTTATGAATGGTTTCGATCTCGATGCATCTATTAGTTTTGTTGTTTTTACGTTTAAACTAATTGCGCTCACACAAAAGGAAAAACCTCTATTCATTTAGACCAGATCTTCAAGTTCAAGATGCCAGGTTCATTTTTATTTTAGCAGGCTATATAGGTAGACAAGTTTCACTGCACGAACAAGATGAAAGGCGTACTTGGTAAGTTCAAGAGTGTAAAAATCGCGCCCAGTCATCCGATTCTTTCCTCGATTTCAGTCGAAGAATGCTATTTTGGTAAATTCATCGGACTTGTAGTTCAAAATTCGAAGTTAGAAGCTAATGCAACTAATGCAAGCTATAGCAGACAAACAAGAGAGGCAGCTAAAACTGCAAATACATTCAGTGGACGTCCCATGATTTCGAAACAGCATTAAGATTGCACGAGTGATATCATCCAGTTGAGTTCTTGTTTTGTTTCTTTTACAGGCTTGTGAAAAAGAATTAAAGAAGCTTAAATTACAGAGTACCAAGAGATACAACACAGATAGATGCATCATGCACTGCAAGTCTGCAACGAACCGTTGTCCCGGTTCTCTCGATTCCTTATTTCGTAAGATGAGGGAAGCAAGCGTAAATATTGGATTTCGGATGCTTTTTCTCGGCGTGCTCCTGGCATTTCACTTCGGTTGTGGTACCCATGAATGTTTGCATACACACCTTGCATTGCTTTCGGCCACCATTATCCGCCGGATGAAGTAGATGCGAATAAAGTATTACAATTTGGGCAAAACGATATAGATTAGGAATTGCCTGGAAGGGAAAAGCACAAACAAATTGGTGGATTTAGGTAGGGATGGCAACGAGTCGGGTTTTTTTTTCCAATCCGACCCGACCTAAAAAATATATTCTCTATTTGAATCTGACGTGAGCTTTATATATCCTTCATCCGACTTGGTTCGATCCAAAAAATATATATCCTTCACCCAATTTTGATCCAATCCAAATTCTTAGAATATAAATTTGACCCGACCTAATACGACACGATTCGATATAAAATAAGGATTTCATTAAAAATAATATTTTTTTAGAAAAATGACATTATTATCTCTAAGTGGGGTCAGGTCAGAGTTTTTCACCTTCTATTCAAACCCGACCTGATCCGACCTCTTCCCTTTTAACAATTTGACCTGACTTGGCTTCAACCTAATTTTTTTTTTTAAAATCCAAGTTTATCGGATCGGGTCGAAACAGTTGGTTACGAATTAAATTGCCATCTATAGATTTGGGAGTGTCAAGTAGGGATAGAGTTAGAGTGTTTATAGGATAGTATTTGTCAGAGATTAAAATGACTATTGTAGTAGCATTTTTGGTTGCGATGTGTTAAATGCGATTATGGATATAAGGAGCGTTATTCCAGTGATTGTGGATGTCATAGACATGCAATAACGATATCGAGACATTGCTACCGCTATATAATGAGTGCTATTGCAGTAGCGTACTGCTATTTAACTATCTATTTGAAATATTTTCAACTATTTAACAATGAACGCCTAAACACCTCTACACGTGTTCGAATTTGGAATATTTAATAATAGCAATCATCCCTTAATCACTAAGATTGTTTAATTCGTGTGAGTCAAAGTGGATTTAAGTTTTACGGTAAATTATGCGTTTAATATTTAAACTATCAGTTTTGGTTTGTTTTAGTACCTAAGCCTTCCATTTTATCAAAAGCATACCTAAAGTTTAATGTTTGTTTCATTTTAGTATCTTGTTGTTCAAAACTTTAGTTTTTGTTTCATTTTAGTATAGTGAGTGGAATAGGAGAGAGTAAAATTTAGAACTTAAATGAATAGGGGTTAAGGTTTAATTTGTATAATTCCAAACTTGAAAGGGACTTAAAAAATTAAACTAGAAAAGTTGAGAGGTCAGGAATTAACTTCGTTAATTTCAAAATTAATAGGGCTTAAAGTGTATTTGAACTGGAACATCTTATAGGGTATTAGGAAACATCAAAACAGGAAACCCAATGTGCAAAGATGTGAAACATTCCTTTTAGATAAATTTTTTTGGGTAAACTACACCAATGGTCACTAACGTTTGAGTAAGTTTTCATTTTCTCCATTGAAGTTTCAAAAATAATAAATTGGTCACTAACATTATCGATTTGTAACAAATCTGTCACTCTCCGTTAACAACCGTTACTGAGGTAACAAAATAATGACGTGTGACGTTAAATTGGTGACCTGGAACATTTTTATCACATATTTAACTCTCCAATATATTTGACTGACGTTTTTCTTCTCTCTCTTTCTTCTTCACTCACCATGCAACCACCACCATGAAGAAGAGCGTTGCAGAACTCACTGGTGCAACAACTGATGATCGGTGATCCTTTTTAGTTACGAGTCTAGATTTAACTAAACTGGTCATAATGCAAATTTCATCCTTCATTTTTTGTTTTTGATTATTTTTATCGAGGAAGGGAATGAGGGATTGAAGATGTAAGCTTCTTCATTTTTTTACATTTGCTATACTCTCTCACCTTTTATATTAATGGTTCCTTTTCTCTTCTTCTCTGAAACTTCTTTAGCATCCTTCATCTTTACATGAACTTACAAACTTCTCTCATTGCAGTTTGCAGAAGCAAGGTCACAACAACTGAGCTCACATATATTTCAACATCGAAGAAAGAAGGTGAACTGTAATACCTCGAAATTCGGGTTAATAGTTCGGATCAATCCGAGACCCAAAGATGAGCCTAAAGGACCTTATAAATTAGTGGACCAAGTTTATTATTTTTGGGCTTGAGTTAGGGCCCAAGAGTTTTGGTGGTTGGTTATGGGTGTGGTGTAAATTAAAAATTTGGGGGACTAAAAGTGTATTTTACCCATGTTTAATTTTGATAGATGAAACCCCTCTCATATATTATGTTTTTACGTGAACCACTCCCCCTTATCTTTTCACCAAATGCTCTTCTTCATTCTTCTATAATTTATTTCATCCCTTTTTCATTCCAAGTGAGAGTTCAAGCATTTTAAGTCTAGTGTGGTGAAACTAAGGTGAGAATGTCAATCTTCATCCTCCAAACTTTGTTTTAAGTTCCATTTCATTAGTTTTTATGCATAGAACCAAGAATGGGTCTTGAGATATTTGTGGGAATCTATGGATTCTAGCTAAGTTTTGAGTTATAGAGAGTTTATTTAGATGTTATTCAATCCCTAGATCGATTGGTAATCCATTTTCTCATTTTGTTTAGTAAAGGAGCTAGGAAAAAGCTCAAAAGCTAAAGGATAAGAAAAGTTGAATCTTGAGTGAGTTGAGAAAGTTTCTAACCATCCAAGGAGCAAGGTAACACCTTTACAATTCGTCTATACTCTTAGTGAGTCATTAGAAGTTCAAGATAGTTTAAATGTTTGAGTTGAGCATGATAAGCATTTTCATGGTGAAATTCTTGTTTTAGAGTTATATATGTGTTTAAAGCCTCTATTATGACCCTTGTTGATCAAATAAAACTTTAAGCATGTTTGGGGACCTCACTAAGGTCTTTGGAATTGAAAAATAGAGTGTTTCGTACTTGTTTTATAACTTATGCAGGTAGATTATTAGTACTATAGGGATAGTATCGATACTTGTTCTTCGTTTTGGGCAAATTCTTGAGTTTCTGGGCAAGAGTATCGAAACTTTGGGTTGTAGTTTCAAAACTACTAGAAAGTTTCGAATTTGGGCAGAACAAAATGTTTAAAACTATCAATACTTATATAAAGTATCGAAATTTTTGCAGGAGTATCGATACCCTTGGGCTAGTATCGATACTTTCAATCTGTTTTGGGCAAAAATGTCAGTTTTTAAGAGAATTAGACTTGAGGTACCCCAACACTTCTTTTTATCATCAAATAAGACTACAAGTGAGAATATTAATGATAATCATTAATATTACACTTAGAAACAATATCAATTAGGATGACATAAAAATAACCTTGGATGATGTTAGGGAAACGATCAGGACACCTGAGTTCTTTTAGAAAATGCTAGCATTTTCGAAAGTATAGATTCAGTCCGGCTATATCATTAGGTAGTATACGAGGCATTTAAAGCTAACTAGCTTGGGCGCAAGGTCCGACACTCAATGAGTGGGCTAGTCGAGAGGGTTAACCGATGCAGAGATTCCGGGCAACCAGCCTCGGTTAACTAGAGGAGTGTGTGAGCTCCAAGATGCAGAACCCTCAACCGCACCATGTTGTCTACCATAGAGTAGAGAGTGCGGTATACGAATATACTCACTATTGCAGTTATAAATTAGCTTGAGCATGACATGAACACTTTTAGTATGACTTAGTTGTTAGTGTGACACTGGGCTAATTAGCTCAGTGTTTTGAATTTGTTTCCTTACGCATGTTAGTCGAGGAACAGTTCGAGGACTTTTTGACAGTAGTGATCCAGACCCAAATAATGTAGAGAACGTCTCGAGTTCATCTTTAGAGGGCATGTATAATTGTAAACCCCGATTTGTATATTTTTATATGAGTCGTAACTCGTTTTAAACTATGGTCTGTATGATTTAAATATTATTTTGGGAGATCCTAATGTAAACTATTTTATTTAAATTGTAGTTGATTTATTTTAGCATGAGTGGTTACTACTCATACATTTTTAAAACGGAAAAATTTAAAAGAAAATTTTGGTTAGCCACTCCGGTAGTTCCATGTGACATTTTTATCGATCGACTGTATGTCGTACTGATTTAGAGTGTTACAAGAACTATGACCCATTCGAAGATATAGAATAAACACAACTTCTTTATAAGAGCTTGTATTAGTGCTTCTTTTTTTATTATCATTTACTGTTCTTAAAACGTTTTGCAACTTCCGTGTTGGCCGCCTTAACTTGCTTTGTCTTTCAAAGTAAGTTAATTTTTGTGCTTCGTTTGTTTAATCGACTGTTTTGCAATGAAATTCCTCCACGCTACAATGGCATCCGTTTTTTTCCATGATACTGTCCGATAATCTAATTTCCTCGTCCTTGGAAACATGCAGATCTAGCTTCGGAAGGCTGCCGATAAACGTCCTCGCCTCATCCCGACGACTAAGTTTACAATATCCATCCATCGACCATGGAGTTGTATGTATTCTGGTTTGGTTTACAGCAGTGCCTAATCATGAATCGGACAACATCGATGGCCTCCGCGAACATGGAATCGGCTGCATAACTTGCGACGAAGGTGTTATAAGAGATCGCATCTGGGACGAGGCCAGAATCGTACATTTCCAAAAATATCAGTGAAACCGCTTTCGCTCTACCGTTAAAATAGTCATTTTGATTTTTTTTTTTAACTTTTTAGAGCATTTTAATCACAACGTTTCACTTTGAGATAATAATTTTTTTTCTATACATTAAAACTATTAATTATCACAAAAATAATGTTCTAAAATAATAATTTTTTAACCTAAAATGAAACGTTGATTGTTAAAATGTCTTTTAAAATGGATTAAGAGATGAAGTAATTTTTCTATCAAATGTTGATATTTTTTTCTAAAATAAAACATTGAAGACTAAAATATTTTAAAAATAGAATAAGAGACAAAATGATTTTTTAATAAACATTGAGGGTTAATTTTGATATTATATTTAATTAATAAAAATGATCATCCAGTTCAGTTGGTAGAGCATAAGATTCTTAACTTTGAGGTCGTGAGATCGAGCCCCATGGAGAGTATTTCATAATTTGGAGGTCTCTTACGGAAGCTGCTTTCAACCTAGTGTTGGGAGCAGCCTACTATCTTACCTCCCTTTACCCATTACATACGAGAACAAGGGACAACCATTTAACCATACGATAATCTAATTTAAAATTCAAACGAAAATATTAATTTTTTCGTCAAATTTTCAATTACATTTATTTTCTATCATTACTTAATCTAAATTTGTCGCTTAGATTTTTCCAATTAGTAAACGTGTTTCCATATGTTATTTTCCGATATTGCCCATCAGATTCCGTCATTCTGCAAAATTCATGTGGTTTTCCAAGATCGCCCTTCTGATTCCCTGCAATATTAGCTGTGTAAAATGAAAGCAGCCAAATACAATTATTCAACAAATCCTTGAAAAATGGATTAACTGTTTTTTTCTCGCTTCTTTCTTTGTTCTTCTTCTTCTTTCTCTGGAAATCTTAAAGTTTTGAAGAGTTGAATCGCTATGGTCACCAAAATCCCAGCCTTGGGAGCAATGTAAGTTTCTGTTGTTCCTTTCGATCAATTTTTAGAAAATCTTTAATCTACTTCCTTATTCGACGGATTACACTTTTATCGCCTCGTTTACCGACTGTTTCTTTTGCTAGATTTTAATCTTTTGCGTGAAAACCTAGAATTTCTTGCTCGAAATGATGAAATGTCAACATGCAACCTTAGTTATTGATTACTTGTTTAATTTATTTTCCTAATTCTATTGCCTTCTGAACTACTTCTCCATTGAGTTGACATATGGAAGTTAATTTTTAAAAATGGAAATTATGCTGATGAGTTTGGTTGCAGATACATTGAATCATGCAGGAGGTACGGTGTCGCACCGAACTCTGGATTTTTATCTTCTCTCTTTAAGGTTTGTCCCGACTCCCGATAAGTTATTATTGAATTTTAGTATCGCAACATGTATTCTGTATGTTTCCCAATGCTTTGAAATGAACTCTTGAGTGTTGAGAAATTAGACGAATGCGGTCGGAGCTTCTGATCATTAGATTAGGAACCTCAAATTGGCTTTCCAGGCTTGTGATTTTTCTGATCATTCAGTCGTGCTATCAGTGTATTTCAATTGTAACGTTGAATATGAGACGGATAATTGAATATTCTTTACAGCTGTGTTATCTCGCGAGTGTGGTGCATTTAGTTATACTGCTGCGAGAGCAAGATTTTTTTTTTTTGGCATCATGCTTAATGTTTTCAAGTTCTTTGTTCAGACCTATTTTAGATGGTAGTTGGTAAGTTAGGAATAATTCCGATTATTATACATTGTGTGATCAAGATGTTCTAGGAGTTGGTTTTTTGGGGTTCAGTCTTGTTATGAAATGTTTGATTGTACACTGTGTAGATAATCATCCATCTAAAAGCCCAGGCATGTTGTTTATGCTTAATTCATCTATGATCATGCATGGAGTGATGCTTCTTGGTGAATTCTTATGATGGATGATTTGGTGAAGTGAAAAAGTTGTTTAGCTGGTTCTGTGGCTTACACGTGAACTAGTGAAACAGAAACTGGTTTGTTACGGCTAAGCATGGTTAGTGATGTTGCATGAGCAATGAATACTCTAGAAATTCAAGACTTTGAAGAAAATGCCCAAATATTTTTTAATTCTCAAATATAATCATATATTAGCAAATATCTAAAGCCCCCTAGAACTTTAACTCTGATTATTTGCATCCTGGTTCTTGGTTAATAAGATAAGAAATGTAATATTGATATCTGAATAATGTAGTCCAGATTGTTTTTGGTTGTAGCCTTTAGGTGTGCCTATTATGCTGGCACGGGGTTTGGCACCCTTTGGTACTAATGCACAAATCTTAGTGGTAGAAGAAGGCAAGCTGTTATATAAAGTCTCATTTGAATGTTTTTAACCTAATATCATGTCTAAAGCTCTGGCCGAAGGACTGCATCCTTCTTCTTTATCAAATGTGATGAAGAGAGATTGATTTCTGTGGTTAAATATGATAAGCATTAACCGTATTTTCTTCTCTCCTTGGATTTCTTGCGCTGAAGAAACATTATGTTTCTTCTTTTTTTGGTGCCTGTTTATAATTCTTTTTCTGATGGTCGTGCAAGTTAAATATGATAAATATCTTTTTTTATTGAACTTTTCAGGCTGATGTTAAAAGATCCCATCATGAGGTATGTATAATGGAGGTTTTATTGGACCATGTGAAGGATATTGATTTTCACCCTCTCCTTGAAGTGACTACGAGAATCAGTGAATCTGAGATTGAAGCAGTTGATGTGCTCAATGAATCATCTTGTGCATTGAATGGAGAATATGCTTTGTTACTGATGCGATCTATTGGTCAGAAACTTCGAATAGTTGATCTCCAGGATTTATCATTTGGGAAGGACTTCTTGCGGTATAACAGTGTTAATTATGCTTTAGCATGTAGTAAAGTATCTGATTCTCTACTTGTTTAAACGTGTCAGAATTTATACATGTCCCACGGAAGACCACTCCCTTCATTTTATTTTTGTTATTCACCTTTTATTTTATTTTGAATGTTTCAATATTAATGTTTTCTTTTTAAAAAGAATCTTGTGGTGTTAGCATTGGCATGCAATAATTGGATTTGTGTTCAAATTGTAAGAAGGTGGTGGTAGAAAAGAGATGAGGTTATGATTCTCATTTTTTAATTTTGTTCTATGAGTTCTTATAACTTAGTTCCTTCGTTTATTTCTTGGTACAATATTTTGAAGGTGATATATTCATTTGACATTTTTCTAATAACAACTGTCTAGCAGGGACAGAGGGTGTAGGTTCATATGAATCTTAAGGTATTTATGGTAAGTTTAAAATTCAACTAGGGTAGGGGAGGGGGTCATTGTACTTGCACTGTATGATAAAAATCAAGAAGTGAAGTTGATAATCAACATAAAGGGAGATTGACAATCAATAAACTCTCCATTGAAATATAAGAAACACCAGTGAGTTCTATAGTCATGAGTTAATGTTATCTATATATCATGTAATATGTTGAAACAACAGTTTCTGAAGAGTTAGATGAGTTTCCTCTCTTGGTAGTTCCCTCCAGATTTTCAGCTTGCAGCGTTTCACAATGTAGTAATAAATACTCTTTGCATTTATGCAGTTGCCTGAAGATATTAGGATGAAATCCTAAATCAGTGCGACTAGAAAAAGTACACATGGATTTAATCTGATTTCTATTTTTTAAAGAATCTATAACCTTTTAATGCTAGTTAAGAGTAAGATTGAGTAAATATTTAGCATATTTTCATTCAATAATTTTGATGATTGTGCTTTTCTGGTTTACTTTGCATCTTCAAGATAAATTTACTTCCTCTGGACCTGATCTCACTGTATATTACAAATGCTTTTGGAAGAAGCATGCAACTGATCTTTGCGAAAAAAGAAGTCTACATTGTCGAAGAAAATAAAAATCCCTATAGATCTTGACCATATAGCTTTCCTTTAGCTAAAAGTGGCTATCACTTGTCGCTTAGTTATATTTGGATCGGCTTAGAAGGGGATATCACGTGTTGTTTAGTTATATTTGGACAAGTTCAGCTGGGTACATCACTTGTCGTTTAGTTATATATGGATTGTCTTAGATGGGTTTTTCACTTGTCGTTTAGTTATACTTGGATCGGCTTAGATGGGGATATCACTTGTTGTTTAGATAATATTTGGATTGACTTAGATGGGGATATCATTTTTTCAATTTGGCTTTTGAAAGATTTGGTTCTTTTTCTCTTCCTATATTCCCCTCACCCCCTCTCTCCAATGAATCTGTTTGATATGTAAATTTGCTATACAAACCCAAGTTGTGTAATTCTGAGAATGTTCTTGAAAATGGTGATTTCTTTTGCTCCAAATATTATGTTAAATTTAGGTTCTCCTTCTCTCTCTATTTTGCTTATGTTTTCGTTTTGTAAGTTTTGTAAGTTGATTATGCATGTTAAGATAGTTGCTTTAGCTCTATCGGTAAACTTTGTGAAGTTGACTAAATGGTTTTATTTTATGTCTGATTTTTTTTGAACTAATTTGAGTTATACGACCAGGGATCTTTCTCAGCGAGGTCTACAATGCCAAGTTCTAAACTTGAGGTCTTCGCATTTTCGGAAGCTCAACTTGGTGGGTGAATTTATGTGGTTGCACTCCCTTAACCTTGACTATAGCACTACTCTCAGTAGCTTCCGTGAGGATTGTTTTTCTTGCATGCCGAATCTGATGTGTCTCTCAATGTGTGAGACCAGAGTTTCCAACTTATGGACTACAATTGCCGCACTTTCCAAACTTCATTCGCTGGTGGAGCTTAGGTTTCAAAATTGGTTATGCTGCAATGATGTTGGCTCCTCTGGATCATCCAGTGGTGATGATCAACCTGGACCCAGCAGTCAGCCAAACAATGTTTCTTTCCCTGGGATGCCACCTGTTAGTCTTGATATACTTATAGATCTTGATGTCGTGACTGAAAATGCAATAAGAAATTTGCTTCCATTCAGTATGAATCAGAATTTTCAAAGCACAAATGAGGAGTCTTCAGATGATAGTGAAATAGACTTTTCTATTCACCTAGAGAATTCTCACATGTACGCATCATCCAATGCACCTCCTGGGTGGAACAGAGAAAGTAATCTACTGACTGAGGTGAATCTATAGCCTCTAATCACCAGTTCCTTGATATATTTTGCTGATTTTGGGGGTATTAAGGTGCTAAAAGGAGAAGTTATTAGCTTCTTCTTTAATATCAAGGAGATATAATTTTGTGTCGGACAGATAATTCTTGATATGCTAGTTAAATTATTCAAAATTTGAAGTTATTTTAACGTTAGTAGTTATTCTTATTAGTATTTTCTTCTCATTTCTCATAATCTGTCTTAGTATTAGGTGGTAATTTATTTATTTTATAGATTGGAAAAGAATGAGAATGTGTTAGGATTTATTTGTGGTGTTCAACAAAATGTTTAGATTGGGGAATGTTTGTGAATACCATGTTAGGATTTAGTTATGGTGTTCAGTCTAAATTCCTATTTCCTAATTGAATCACTGACTATTAGAGTTGTTCTCCGGAGGTGGAGCCATGAATTATACTTGTCTTGTTTAATATCATTCTGATTTGTTTGACAGGTTTCTTCTTCTGCATTGTCAAATCAAAATGGAGTAGAGTCTTCTGAGGGTGCCTCCTCCTCAGGGCATGTTGCAGATGCTTCATTCAAGTACATTTCTGAACATGCTTCACCAATATGCTGTGAGAAACATTATAGGGAGTACATGATAGCTTCAATACCCCAGTTGAAAGTTTTGGATAACTTACCTATCAGAAATATTGACAGAGAAATGGCTAATAGGACTTATTTTAAACATTTTGAATCCCTTCCTTATAGAAGATACGATAAAGAAAATGTCGTTAGTATATTGCAGAAGCGTGAAACTAGAGCAAAGCACTCTAACCTACGAATACGAAAGCAAATGCCATTAGATCCTGCTGGGAAGTCACCATATTTTTATACCCGATCTCTTTGTGCTGCAAAAATGGGTTCTTCAGCTTGGCCATGTCTGCATTCACTGTCTATCACAAGCAGCGGTTTGGGAGATGAAAACAGGAGCTTTCGTCCAAGGCAGTTTGAGTATCATCCAACTAACTCCGGCCTAATGGTGTTTGGAACTTTGGATGGTGAAGTCGTTATTGTCAACCATGAAAAGCAGAAAATTGTTAGTTACATTCCTTCACTTGGAGCAATGAATAGTGTGTTGGGGCTCTGTTGGCTCAAGAAGTATCCCTCGAGGGTGAGTAAATACCATGACGCACTCCTAAGATAGGTTAAATTCTAGTGCTCTCTAACTTCATAGATGCATTTCCCTATATAACTTTATTTTCTTTTCCTTTTATGAATTTTATTGTTTTAGTAGAAAATTCACACTTACCGCTTTTAGAGATCTTAACAATTTATTGAGCTATCTGATCTTTTACCTTTTCCATTCAGCTGATAGCTGGTTCAGATAATGGCTCGCTGAAGCTGTATGATATTCAGCATTTCCCATCAACATCCAACATCATGCATGCTGGTTATGGTTCTGTCACCTTTGATGAGTTTGACCAATTAACATCTGTTCATGTTAACTCTACGGATGAACTCTTTCTTGCAAGTGGGTACTCAAAAAACGTGGCTCTGTATGATATCAACAGTGGAATACGGTTACAAGTGTTCACCAATATGCACCAAGAACACATTAATGTAGTCAAGTTTTCGAACCATTCTCCGACAGTTTTTGCCACTTCATCATTTGATCGGGATGTTAAAATGTGGGACTTGAGACAGAACCCGAGTAGGCCTTGCTACACAGCTTCAAGCTCTAAAGGAAATGTGATGGTCTGCTTCTCACCAGATGATCACTGTCTTCTCGTCTCAGCTGTTGACAATGAGGTAACTTTGTTAGTTTGAGAGTCTGGTGAAAAATTTCCATGTATTCGGACTTTGAATTTCATACTTGGTCTATTAATAGTAAACATGGTCCTTAAAATCTTTACTTAAGAAAATCAATGTTTCGTGAGAATAAATTTTGCTAGAAATTCTTTCTACGATTTTACTGCTTTCGGGAAAGATTTTCCGTGAATAGAGCTTGTGGTTTTCTTATGATAATCATTTTTGTTTTTCACTCATATTTCATTTTAGAGTTGTATCTTACCTGTGCAAGAGGCTGGATTCAAATTAAGCAGCCGCTGCTGCAAAGTTAGTGACAGTTCTTACAAACTACCACTTTGACAGGGTCATAATTTGGGTAATGACTCTCGTGGTTGTGGAAATGCCTCCATACTGTACTACCACGAGTATCCATTAGTTTCCCTTTCTATCGAAGTTGAAACTCATTGGCCAAGACTTGCAAAACTCAATTGAAATGTGCCTTTTCTTATTATTTGCACTTAGGCCGCTTGGTTCATTTTGGCTCTCTTCTTCTTTCTATATTTAAATTTTGCATTGCATTTTAATTGTAATTTGTTAGCATTTACTCCTTTTATAAGTATGTCTTTTAAATGAAGCCTTTACTTTGATTTTCTTATTGAAGTACATGTTAGTATGATTTTAACATGTTGACATTGACAGGTCACACAGCTTCTAGCTGCTGATGGACGCCTTCACCTGGATTTTAATATACCCACTACTGGCAGCTCCCTAAATTACACTCGGTCCTACTACCTGAATGGTAAGGACTATATCATAAGTGGGAGCTGTGATGAACACGTTGTCCGAGTTTGCTGTGCCCAAACTGGGAGACGTCTGAGGGATATTTCCTTGGAGGTATGTGTCTTTAAATTTGCACATATTTTGCCCAACATCAATGTTCTCTAATTTATGAAATATAGATAAGTGCAGACACTTGCCCAACATTGACCAAAATTTGTAAGGTTCAGAAATTTTAGTGTTTGTGCATATACCAAAAAGCGAGGGATATTCATGCATATATTTCATGCAGGGAAAAGCTCCGGGGAGTTCAATGTTTGTGCAGTCATTGAGGGGGGATCCCTTTAGGGTGAGTTAAACATTTTTCTGGTGGTATTTACCACCTCTATTATGTACGAAGCAGCATGTTGACATTTTGAAAAAATTTAGTCGATACTCTTTTTCCGGCGTGACTTACTTTTTGTTTTAAATTTTCGTTAAATACGCTGTTGTTTGTTTCTTATGGTTATATGAATTACATGTCTAGTAGAAGCATGCCCTCTTCTGCAGTGAACAAGATTTTGGTTACTGTCTTTTCCTTGCTTTACCTATTGCCTTTCGAATCATTTATATACCGGGTCAAACCGAACACATAAAAGAGCAGTCTTTTTTCGAGGAAGTTTCTTAGAGTAACAACGAACATCCGAATCAAATCAATTTTTAGCTGGTTTGACCATGATGTCGTTATATCTTATGAGTGAATTATTGTTTTGGTGCTTCTTCACACTTGGCATTTCCATTCAAGCTCGTATATAATAATACACTTGCCATTATCAATTTCAAATGTTATTGCTCCCAGGCTTTCAACATGAGCATCTTAGCGGCCTATACTCGACCAAGCTCGAAATCCGAAATAGTCAAGGTATGTCATATCTCGCATGGCTGTTTTCCTTTATATAGCCGGGTGTCTCGATATTGAAAGTGACGGCGAAAACCCTTCTTTTCAGGTCAATTTGCTGGCTTCTTCAGTGTGTAACAAGGAATCATCTCCTGGTGGGAGCACTTTCCTATTCAATAGCATGGGAGGTTAATTTATTCAACATTCAAAAGCTCGCATTATCTATCATGCTACCTTATCAAACTGTAAGTTGAGCAATCACAGTTTATACAGGTTAGAACATAGTGTATGTTAAACTGAGAAGCATCGTAAAATCTATATACAAGGATCATTATCGAATATATCGGCGATCGAAGCTCTTTTAACTCCACAAACGGAATTAAGAATTGCCTTGTGTTCTTAATATGAGGCAATTTTTTAATTTCGTTTGTGAAGTTAAACAGCTTAACTGTTGATGTATGGAATAATAATCTAATATTATATATATAATCTGAGTAATTAAACTTGGTACTTTGGAACCTGTTCTTGAAAATGCAACTCTTTCGAGATTAATCATTTTCATTGTCTATAAACTGGATTCAAATCTAACATTACTGGTTTAGCCTCTATTCAAAGTGTTCGGTTTTATTTTATTAAATTTGATTCGGCTTGGTTCTTAACTCCCAAGAAAAAATGGTAATCATTTGAACCGAATTCTAATTTTATTTATTTATTTTATAGTTAATTTGTATAATATAAAAATAAATATTTATATATAATTAGAGAAAATAACTTAAAATAGTTTTTTCCCTTTAAATTTTGCATGAATCTAATTGATACAAGTTTGGTTTTTCAGAAACCAAATGAATTTTAATAGTAAATAAATTGGAACCATCATGTATAGGGATGGGGTATAGGTTGGGCTTGGCTGAGTTTTTGCCCAAACATGAAACCAATCTCACCTGGATTTTAAAAAAATTTATCCGACTCGAAATTTGATACGATTTTTAAAATAGATATTGAATCAGATCGGATATGTATATATGATTAAATTTTTATTAAATAAAATAAAGATCTAACTAAAATCCGAGACAACCGGATCGAATCAAAATCTATAAGTCGAATCCATGCCGATCATTAATTATGTAACGTGTAATTTCATGAACGTGCCGGACTTCCTGATGATCATCGGTAGAGGTGTACAAAAAATCCGAATATTCGATTTTACGCAAAAAATATTCGAAATCGGATTTGGGAAAAATCGGTTTTTTTAAACCGGATCGGATATTTTAAAACCGGATAGTATAACCGGTTTGGGAAAAAATTGGACGAACGGATTTTTTACCGGATTAAAAACCGGTTTGAAAAAACCGGATAAAAAACTGGTTTTTTATCTGGAAAAAAATCCGGTCTGGGGTTTAAAAATCCGATCTGAGGTTTAAAAAATTAGATGACTGGATTTTTTACCGGATTAAAAACGGTTTTTTAAAAAAACCGATTTTTTTCAAACCGAAACCGGTTACACCGGTTACATCATCCGACCCTCCAAACCGGTTATGATCCGAACCGATTTTTTTATAAATCGGTTTTTTGGCTTAGTGAAAAAACCGGATCGATTTTTATCCGATCCGGATCGGATTTAAATCCGGCTATGTGCATCTCTAATCATCAGCAATACAGTTAACAGAACCTAGGGTTGAAGCGCAAATGGACAAAAACCCCAGAGAGATAAAGGATGCAGGGCAGCCAGCAAGCTCTAAATCCCACGGCGTGAAAAGTGCTTAAAGCCGAAACCCACCGCTCTATCCTCCTCGATATCCGCCATAAAACCTCCGGCTGTTACATACACTCCCTTGCTTGCTTTAGAAATCTACAACACTCGAACAAATTATCTCAAACCGCATGACAACAACAATTCGAAACCAAAAATGAAGATCTTGTTTGCAACTTTGCTGGTCGGCTCTCTTCTTCTAAGTTGCTCGGTCCTGGAAGCTGCCATGGCACAGCCTCGATCGCGTAAGCTAATAATAATAATAACACCCATTTTCTTCTTTCTTGCCTTTTTTTTTAACGCTGGTTTCTGGTGCATGGTTTAATGATTGGTGTTTGGAAGCAGCCTCGTGCGAGGGGAAGTGCAGGGCGAGGTGCATTAAGGCGGCGGTGTGGGATCGGTGTTTCAAGACTGTGGGATATGCTGCCAGGAGTGCAACCGTGTTCCATCTAGGACTTATGGGAACAAATACCAGTGCCCTTGCTATAGGGACAAGCTCAACAACAAGGGCAAGCCCAAGTGCCCTTGAAAACTTAAAGAAGAACCAAACATTTTTCGTCTCTTCAATTTCACGTTCGTTGTTTGCTTGCTTGCACCATGAGACGTGTGCATGTGTACATGGATGTAAACGGAAATAATCATTGCGTCTTTGTTATTTATATTTGTAGCGGTATTATTCTATATCTTCATTATTATCAACTACATTATTACTTTGTATTTATATTCAGAATAATCAGGTGCATAATTGAACTTCATTTATATTTAAGTTTATATAAGAAATTAACTTTATAATTACAAGATATTATTTTATTGAATCCTTCAACTATTAAAAGTTATAAAACAGTCATCAGCTATTTATATACTCTAAACTCGTCATTTTTAATTAAAAAATTGATAGTGATTTGAGTTGGAAGTCAATGTTCAGCTCAGACGGTCATCGATTTTTTAACAGAAAAAAACAAACAAACTCATACGAATAATTGGATGACCATTTTATGACTTTTAAGAGTTGAAAGATTTAACAAAGCAATAACCTATAATTGAGATTTCATTTTATAACTTTTAATAATTAGTTACCTATTAAATAATGTCCTCTAATTTGGACCATTATACAGGAATAGTATGTGAATGTCTAGTGCAATTAACTTTTGGATGGGATATGTATTTAGTACTTAAACTATTAATTTCGATTCGTTTTAGTACATAGACTTTCAATTTTTTCAAAACCATACCTAACGTTTAGTTTTCATTTTATTTTCATTTTATTTTACTACCTCACTGTTAAAAGTTTAATGCATTTAGTACTTAAACTATCAGTTTTGGTCTGTTTTAGTGACTAAACTTGCATTTTTTTCCTTAAAAAATAATGTTAAATTTTGAATGGGGTACTAAAATGAAACAAAAACTAAAGTTTTTAACGGCTAGATACTAAAATGAAAAAAAAACTAAACTTTAAATATGGTTTTGAAAAAAACTGAAAGTTTAGGTGCTAAAATAGATTAAAACTGATAGTTTAGGTGCTAAACGCGTAATTTACTCTTAACTCCTTTTTTTTTTTAAATTTCCAAACACAAGCGGCGTCGCTTTTGCTAATATATTCAGAAATCAAAGCGAAACAAATATCCCCATCACTCACTCAAGGTCCTCTTCCCAAATTCAATTTCGAATTTTGAAATTCCATCAATGGATTCAAAGATTGAAGAGGTAAACTTCAATTCAAATCCGTAAGCTTTCCTTTGCAAACTGTGGATCTTTGATTTTGTCTTCTAATTTTTTTGCATTGTTGTCCAGATCCTGGAGAAGCAGGTACTGACAGTGGCGAAGGCGGTGGAGGACAAGATCGACGAAGAGATTTCGGCGTTGGATCGACTCGACGACGACGATCTGGAGGCTATCAGAGAGCGGAGGTTGCAGCAGATGAAGAAGATGGCGGAGAAGCGGAGCCGTTGGATCGGTTTAGGCCACGGTGAATACTCTGAGATTCCGGCTGAAAAGGACTTCTTTTCAATCGTTAAAGCTAGTGAGCGAGTCGTTTGCCACTTCTACCGCGAAAACTGGCCCTGCAAGGTACTGCGTTTCTTCTTTTTCTTCTTTCGTAATCATTCAAAGTTCTAGTTATGAATTCGGTCCTCAAAGTGTATGAGAATTGAGAAATTAGTCCAATTGTTGTAAAACACCTGAACTTGAACCATGGATTTTGCTAATCTGTTGCATATAAATTACTGGGCTACTGATTTTTGTTAATTTGGTGCATATATATCATTAAACTGCTGACAAGTTAAAGTAGAGAGATTAACTTTTCAGTTTCTGTAAATTAGAGATGAAATTCTTAGTTAAACCTTAGTCAAGTTTTAAGGCAAATCAATTCATCTCATTGGACTTGAATTGCAGGTGATGGACAAGCACTTGAGTGCATTGGCAAAGCAACATATCGAGACTCGGTTCGTGAAAATCCATGCCGAGAAAAGCCCGTTCTTGGCCGAGAGGCTCAACATTGTTGTTCTTCCTACACTCGCCCTTATAAAAAATGCCAAAGTGGATGATTATGTGGTATTGTTAATGCTTGTTTCCGACATCAAAGATATAAAATGTAACATCCGAATTCGATCATCTTGTTTCTGCTGGGGCTGACAGCTGATGTGTTTCTTTTGCAGGTGGGATTTGATGAGCTTGGAGGAACGGATGAGTTTTCCACTGAAGATTTGGAAGACAGATTGGCTAAAGCGCAAGTCATCTTCTCCGAAGGTGAATCGTCATCGAAGGCCGGAGCACAGACCAAAAGGAGTGTCCGACAAAGCTATAACCCGGACTCATCTGATTCGGAGTAACTATGGGTTTGTGTCGACATGTAAGCTTTCTATATATGCTTCAATGGAAATCAATAGGATACATCAGCATCATCATTCCATCTTTAAGCATTAAAAGCAAATGAAGAGAGTAACATTTCTTGTATGAAACAGTTCAGTCATTTCGACATATGCTCGATCTAATTTTGCTTCAGTTCTTGTTTCTGTTTATACATTCCGATTCGCGAATCGGAGTCGAATATCTCAGCAGAGGGATATGAGCCGAATGATCAACTGCTTCTTGATTGTATATGCATTTTCTTAAAACTGCAAAGCTCAAATTGTTACAAATTCAGTTTTCATAAAATAGAGGGATGAGATTCATAATTACACCAACAATATTCCATTAAAACTTCTAATAAAAGATAGGATTAAATATGTAGTTGAGCACCATCAAATTTTGCAAAGCTCAACATACGAAATTATATTTTTATTTAGGGTAAATTACGTATTTAGTACTCAAACTATTTATTTTTGGTTCGTTTTAGTACGTAAAGTTTAATTTTTGTTTCATTTTACTACTCATGGTTAAAAACTTTAGATTTTGTTCATTTTAGTACCCGTTCAAAATTTAATGTTAAATTTTAAAAAAATTGAAAGTTTTGGTACTAAAAGGGATTAAAATTGATAGTTTAGGTACTAAATAAATTAAGTTTTTAACGACGGGGTGTTAAAATAAAATAAAAATTAAATGTTGGGTATAATTTTTAGGAAAAATTAAAAATTTAGATACTAAAATTAATAATTTAAATATTAAACACGTAGTTTACGCTATTTTTTATAGGTACATAATTTTATTTAGTTTACAATATGACAACAATGAGGAATCTCAGTTTGTCCTTACTAGAGCGCAATACTTATCTTTAATGGGCACACATTGTAAGACCCTTAATGCGTTTAGTTGATAGTTATTATAAACCATAATTATTTTATGTTTGATTTAAAGACAAATTGAGCTCCATATATTTTTTTGGCATTTTAATTTCATCCAATAATCAAAATTTGATTTGAAATAAGTATGTTTTTCAGGCAAAGACAGGATGATGGACTATATATTTAGACTATTAATTCGAACTTTGAAGATAAAATATTATTAGAAAGACAATGATATTATCGAGAAAAAATTAAACCCTAAATTCTAAATCTTAAATCTATCATTTAATTAATTCGTTAAATTTTATTTGATTTAATTGCTTCGTATATCTTCAAATTATGATTAAGATTTTAAATTACTATAAAAGTATAATATGGTTTAATTCTCAAAGTATAATTATTATTATATCAATCAATCATGTTTTAATGCGAATCTAGTTATCAACTTTAGCTCAAGTCTTGCATAGCTTAAATTTTAAATATGTGTGTAATTATGACATGAATAACTTGATTACGATATATTAAAAAAAATACTTTTTTTATCATAGAGTTTGTTCGAGTGGTAAACAATTTAATATCGTTTAAGCAAGTCTCGAGTTCAAGTTTTTCTGTATGCAGGAAATCTCCGTAGGGAGACTCACTCAATAAGACCAGGTGTGCGACACAGATCAGTCAGAATTATTCAATGCAAAAGCAAAACCCTAGAATCGGAAGGGCAACAAAAAGAATACGTCTCTTAAATTTCATTTCTTTTATCTAATGCATCATATCTGAATTGCACGTGTAATAAATATATATGTTTTTTTAATAGTCTAGAATAATTATAAGATAATATATATTATACTTATAAACACAATTATTTAAACCCAAATTTTTTAAGAATAATAATCCTTTATGCGAATACTTTTCCATCTTACTATTAATTTTGAAATCAGACACCTTCAACTTGAACTCTTGATTTTAAAATCTTAAATTAATGGTGCGTTTGGTTTACGGAATGTAAGATTATCGGCGGGAATAAGATTACCGGTGGGAATAAGATTACTGAGAATGTTGTATTTTGTGTTTGATTCGTTTAGCAGAAATGTAAGATTACAGTAATTGGTTAAAGTAATAAAAGATTATTTGAATTTATATTTTACCAAATTATCTTTATTATATATTTGTTTTGTAACAAGTTGAATTCCACTATAATATTACTATAATTAATTTATATATATTTTTAAAAAATTTTAAATTCATAAAATTTATATATATATATATATTTTTACAAAATTGAAAAGATAAATAGGTTTAATGAAAGGGTAAAATTTTATTTTAACCCTTGAATTTCATATAAAATTCTAATTATGGATTTTTTTTGTAAATCTAAAATAGTTTAAGGATAAATTTGTAATTTAACTTTCATAGAATTTTTTTTATTCAACGAGAGAAGAAAGATATTTTTGAAAAAAAAATAAGGGCATTTTAGTCCAAAACGCAGGGAATGTAACAATACCTAAGGAAATGGGTAATCACATTCCCGGTAATATACCCCCAAAATACCACTGTTCGTAATAACTTATTACTGGGGTCTGGAAATGTTTGCCAACCAAACGGGGGAATGACATTTCATTCCCCCAGTAATATGAGATACCCTGAACCAAACGCCCCCTAAAAGTCATTTTCGTTTTAGAAGCATTATTATTGGCGGGAGGCCAAAATAATCAATACTTACGAGGATAGAGTGATATTTTGATTTTAGAGTATTGTTTTATTAAGTGCATCGATTATTAAAGGTTATAAAATGATCCTTCGAATATAGAGTATTGTTTTGTTGAGTCACTCGACTATTAAAAGTTACAAAATGATCACTCGACTATTCATTAGGTTCCAAACTCGTCCATTTTCGTTAAAAAACGATAGTCGTCTAAGCATGACGATAATTTTTTTCTAAAATTACAAAAAAAACAAATCCCTAACCTTAACCTGCCTTACTGGCCAAGGTTGCCATCGTTAACGTCGCCCTTGTCAGCTGTCATCTTCCCTGCCATCGTGTGCATCGTTGGAGACACGATTTTGTCGTTTCCTTCGTCAAAGATGCGACATTATCGTCGAGTTTGGCTTGTCATAGGGTAAAGGTTCTGGTGAATGTTCGATCGACGTCAAACGACGATGGCCATCATGATTAGAGATTGAAATTTAAGTTTTCAAAATTTTTTTTTAGTTTTTCAAAATTTTGAAGTTTTTTTTAACCATACAATTTTTATTTTTTTATTTTAAATAAAATTTTTAAAATAACTAGAACGTGACATATACCACTTAAATAACAGTGAAATTCAATGATCTGAGCACCTAAAGTAGAACGATCGAAAAAGAGTTTGAACACCTACTTGAAAAAAGTAGTATAATTTTTATCACTTATTTTACAATTAAGCCTTCTCTTATTTATGAAGGTTAGATGGAGCTTCAACCATCCATCAGCTAATCAGGAAATCGCTGTCAAAAGTGCTTACGAAAACGCCATATCCGAAAGAAAAAATGGAATGTGGAGAAGATGATTGATATATGGTGTACTCATTGTTATTAATTTTTGAGTTTCCAACTTGAAAGATATTCTAAGCTGTCAATACCATGCATCAGGCATCACATGACGAACTAAATCACAAACCAAAAGGAACTGATCAATCGGAGCAAGACTAATGTCCCGAACACGGAGATCGTTAAGAGAATTACGGGTTTCTTCCTCGGTGGTATCGTAAAACAAAACATGTCTTTTTATTTGATAATCTGTTTACTCAGAAGACCTAGCCTCTGATTCCCAAAGTGACAAACTAATCTCATACACCCTCATTCTGCTGTGCTCATCCATGGCCTTTCAAGTACCTGCAATGGAAACACAAGAAGTTATCCTCATCGTTTCGGATAAGCTGTCAAACCACAGCAAGCTTCAAGTTGTATCAAATTCATTTGTTATTCAACATTTGTTATTCAATTTCAATCAATGAATGCCATTGGAATCTGTTTTACTTGTATGAAAAAGCGATACACCACAAATTGTCGGGCACAGACAGTATAGGAAAGAAACAAAAAGATTTAAGCGATGACCTCAAAAATGAATGTTCTAATTATAGAAAAATCGTCGGGCACAGAGCATTCAAAGAGTGCAAGCATTCCCAATGAACAGCATAATTCATACCAATATTTGACACTACGTAACATAACATGATGTCGAGTTAACTACAATGTACTACATCACCGGCATGAATGTTCACTGCACACTAAGGACCAAATATTTGGAACAGGCGAACAGCTAAAGTAAACAAGTAAAGATCTATGTTACTACGACCCTTCATTTTTCCCCGAAGTATTTGCTTCCAACATCCTATGTCTGACACATATTCAAACATGGTAGTGGGGTATGATCCTCTAAATATATACAAAAAAATGTAGAGACAATTGAGTGTAGCCGTGCTAGATATTACCCATATCTAATACCCAATGCCTGAATTTGAGTAATATAAGTAAAGACACAATTTTTTATTATAGTTTAACAAAAGGAAAAAGTATGATGTAATAGTAAAAACTAAAAACATCTAGTACTGAGAAGCAAGAAAACATCAATTAAAAACCGAGTACAGTTTCTTTACTTATTAAAAGGCATAGGATCATATGTAGATTACAGCGCATGCATTCCAGGATCAAAGTTAGGAATTAGCATTTCGTAGCGACTTATTTAACAAGGAAGTACTAGGTCTTTAGATCAATTTATTTTCTCATATAGCCTACGACAATGGCAGCACTGAGTGACCAACATACTAAAGAGCTAGTTTCTTCAGAGAAGAAAGAGGAAAAAGGTTAAAATATGTCGAGCAAAAGAACAATAAAATCCTTTGTTTCTTAGTTTATATATCCAAGTCCTTTAGTTTTCAAGTTACTCGGCATGAATATGCTTAGTAAGTACATTTTTCATGATAAAAGGTGAAACAATAGTAAGAAAAATATGAACCTACAAAGTCGTACAATTCTCCATCCTTTGGCCGATTGAAAGTCGACGTGCATCAGCCATCTTTTCCATTCCTCCCTATATAAACCAATCCCGTTTCCTTTTAATTAACTGAATTTAAAGAACTAACAAATTCACCTAATTTACGCCTGTTTAGGTGAGTTTAACAAGACAAACATAAAGCAATTATAAGGAAACCCAATTCTTTTTCCTTGTCCCATTAACAGCAATATAAACGCAATTGTGATTTTTTTTTGCAAATTTGAAGTTATTCAAGTCTCAAGAGAAGTGAATAACAACAATCGGGAAAAGCTCCGCTTTTCGTTTTCATGTACCCAAGAAATAGTAAGACTCACAAAGAGAATACTAGCGATCCTGACAAGTTCGGCAGA